TTCCACCAATTACCAGTAGGAAATATGCAACCTGAGGCTGGCCAGTGACCTGAACTTCACCGTAGGTCCACAGATTTTTATATGAATAATAAAGAGGCTAAAAAAGATGATTTTTGAGGTTCTTTCAGATCTAAAACTTGGCAATTCCAAGCAAAAGTTGTTTTGCTTGGAATGGTGATGCGTGCCTTTAATCCCAGCAACTGAGGGGCAGAGGCAGGCAGATCTCTGAATTTGAGGCCAGCCTGGTCTATATAGTGAGTTCTAGGAGAGGCAGAGAGGCAGAGCTTCATAGAGAGACCCCATCTCAAAAAAAAAAAAAAAAAAAAAAAAAAAAAAAGAGTTGTCTTTTATGACACTAGTGCAATTGGTGTCTGTCCCTGAATTTATCTGTCTTAAATCAAGAGCCATGAGTGTTTTCTCTGATGGAAACAGGTTAGGCTGGTACAAGCCTGTAGGAATTTCCTTAACAACCCTGGACACTCAACCCATACAGAGTCCCATCCTTTCTCATTAACCAACTAATGTTTGTGGAAGGCCTGTTATCTGTGGGAGGTGCTAATAATCTTTTGACCATGTCTTACAGCTTTTTCATCCATCTTTCTGCTTTCACCTTCTGTGACAGACCAGGCAGACAACAGTGGAGGGAATGTGTATTTAATAATTTTTCCGAATGGTCTCAACCTTTCTGTAACAAAATGTAATACGGATATTGTGATCCAAAGTCCAGGGAAACAGTGATCCACACATGAGCGTGGGAAAGGTTTTGGTGAAGAGTGTTCTCTGTCCATACACCCTTCACTCAAGTCTTTATTTCAAAGAGCACTGCCATATTTTCTTTTAGCTCAGTGGCACCCTAAAAACAAACAGAAACCCCCCCCCCCAACCTAGAAGTCTGTAAGTGTTTCCAGGAAGGTCCACTTTTGTTGCCTTAACTTGTGTTTTGTTCAGGCCCAGTCTTGAGATCTAAAATCCAGAGCCAGAACACTGGAAATGAAAATCAGGCAGCATTTAAACCAGCTTCCTGTGTGGTACAGGATGAAGGGAGAGGGCTGCAACAGTTCATGGAGCAGAAGATAATCCCGTGGAGGATTTCCCTTGTCACTTGCCAAGTGTTCACTGAAGGATGTCACAAAATGCAGAGATCTGGCTCTCTGAACAGTAGCCAGAGACAGAAGCTGATGCCCACTGTCAGGAAGCAAATGGGCTTTCTTACACTCACCTTTTCCTGGATCTTTTCTATTCCAATCCAGGGTTTCCTAACCTTGAGGTGGTTGGCATTTGGAACTGGACCAATTCTTTGTCAGTGGGACATGTCCTGTCTATTGCAAAATATTGAACATAATCTGAGCGCTTTCCTCCAGACACCAGCAACCCTGCTTTCCTTCTTCCTTTCGCTGTGCCAGTTAGTCTTTCTACACTGCCAAATGTCATGTGAAAAATGAGAAGGGGGGAATCATCACTCCACTTTACTCCCGGTGCTCTAGAGGTTGGAAGCTGAGGTCACAGCTACCCATGCAGGATGGAAAGTAGAAACTTCAAACCTTATGATGACATAAGGCCACAAAGCAGGATGGGAACGGCATCCATCCTGGGCTATTCACAAATCTACATTATCTGAGAAATAAGTTGCATTTGTTTGCAAGAGAGAAGTTATTCAGATTATTTGGAAAATCAGCATCACTCAACTATTTTGTTTGCCCTGAAATTATGATCGCCCTCCCTACATCTTTGGCATTTGTCAGGTGGGAGGAGAAGCCAAAGCACTTTTGAAAGCATCCTAATGAGAAATGGATCCCTGGGCCTGTCACTCAAATGCTGCCACCTCTCAGTTGTGAAGTGGCGGCTGATTAGCTGCTTTTCACAGTGTACACTACGTTTAATGTGCTGAATACAAAACGAGTATATGATGATCAAAACCATCCAGGAACCTTCAGAGCAACATTATAACAGCCCATCCTCTCACTCCCCAGGAGCTGGTGGGTAAGGGGAGGTCCCTGAGACATGGGTAAGCACCACCCCTATACACATTGTAATAACTCTTACTACACTCTAGTTTGGTTGAATTATTTTCAAGGTTCATCTTGTTCCTATTGGAGGTGTCTATAGGTTGCTCTTGTTTTCTTGTTTTGCATCTTACTCCTGTCTGTTCACTCCAGACTTCTAGACACGAATTCTTTTTCTCCCAGAAATACAAAAGGAGGTCATATCTTGTGGAAAACATTTCTGTAGATTCCTGGGATTCTGAAAAGAACAGCAGTGAGACATCACAAGAGGCCCTCAGCTAACGTTTACTGAGCATCCTGAGTCTCCTTCCCTTGGCCTCTGTGTGAGCGTATTTCCTGTTTTGAAACAGGCTTATTTTTCTGTATTCTGTTCTGCCATGATCCATGGTCTATGGGCTGATGAGGGAAGGTGATGGCTTAAATTTTATACTAAAGGAGGACATTCAGTTATAGTCTCAGGAAAGAAGTAGGTCCTCAGAACAAATAGAACCCAAGAGATGAAGGATGGACAGGTTCCTGGGGTGAATCTGGAAGATCCTGTACTGTCTGAGTCTATTCCTAGCTAGAGAGTGTGTGACCTAAAATACCATGGCCTATAATAACTTGTGTCTCAAACAATGATCTGTCCCTTTATTTTAGAAATCTTCCTAGAGAAAAACAAAACCAGACCCCAAATCTCCTCAAGAAAAAAAAATTTGTTTGGTTTAAAGTTATTCTTCTATAAAGTTATTTTCTATAGAGAGCAAAGTGGTAACTGAGCATGTAACTCTATGTATGAACACCGTCTTTTACATGTATGGCATGACTTTTTTAAAAGCTGAAAATTATTGCTCTAAGGGAATATAAGGAAAGGATAGATAAGCCTTACTCTATAGGCCATATTATCTAGTTGCTGCTTATTTAAAAACTCATTTAGAGTGGAAGGAAGCAGGCACCAAGGAAGGAAGATAGAGTCCTTCATTCCACCTGTGACGTCCCTAAGGGACTTGGGGGGAGTCTCCCTCTGCAGAAAACCATGGGGTCAGAGGTGATGGGAGCTGGCAGGGTTCCTGATGAAGAACCCACTTTTTACACTGCACTGTCTGAAGAGCTTAGAGAACAAGAGAGGGAAGAGAAGAAACAAATGAACAGATCTCTGCCTGTCTCCAGATCTTAACTCCCTACACAAGGCATACATGTTCCTCAGAGAGGGTGGGGTGAATGTGAGATTCAAGGGCTCTCAGGAAAGGGGCCTTCGCTTGAAAAGCTCTTCCCTGAAGTGGATACAGGAAGTCATGGACATGAATTGCTGTAGAATAAATTTCCCAGAAGGGGCAGGGAGGGAGAGAGCAAAAGGTGTGTGTGTGTGTGTGTGTGTGTGTGTATGTATGTGGTGTGTGTGTGTGTGGTGTGGTGTGTATGTGGTGTATATGTGTGTCTGTGTGTGTGGTGTGGTGTGTATGTGGTGTATATGTGTGTCTGTGTGTGTGGTGTGTATGTGTGTCTGTGTGTCTGTGTGTGTGGTGTGGTGTGGCGTGGTGTGTGTGTGTGTGTGTATGTATGTGGTATGTGTGTGTGTGTGGTGTGTGTATGTGGTGTGTCTGTTTGTGTGGTGTGTCTGTGTGTGGTGTGTGTATGTGGTGTGGCGTGGTGTGTGTGTATGTATGTGGTGTGTGTGTGTGGTGTGGTGTGTATGTGGTGTATATGTGTGTCTGTGTGTGTGGTGTGGTGTGTATGTGGTGTATATGTGTGTCTGTGTGTGTGGTGTGTATGTGTGTCTGTGTGTGTGGTGTGGTGTGTATGTAGTGTGTGTGGTGTGGTGTGTATGGTATGGCGTGGTGTGTGTGTGTGTGTGTGTGTGTGTGTGTGTGTGTTTGGGGCAAAGGGACATTTGAGAGAAATTAGAGGACTCTGGTTGCTCAGCTGAAGACAATAGCTCTGATACAGTTGTGCTCAGACTTGTTCTGGGTTTCTGTACAAAAAGACACCATGGTGAAATCATATCTGAATATTTTCATCTGGTACCTAGTTTTCTATCACCTGTAACAGGAAGATACTTAGCCTAGGGCTGGAGAGATGGCTTAGTGGTTAAGAGCACTGGTTGATATTCCAGAGGATCGAGGTTCAATTCCCAGCACCCATATGGCAGTTCACAACTGTCTGTAACTCTGATTCCAGGGAATCTGATACACCCTTCTGATTTCTGTGGGCCATACAGGGTGCATAGACATACATATGGCCAAAACACCCATGTACATACAATAATGAAATAAATTAGCATTAACTTGGATATAAGATGATAAAAAAATGGATTGGGATCAGTGTGAGAGACAACCCAGAGGAAACACTGTAGGCAGGGTCCATGGAACACAGTGACATGAAGGACAGGACAGTTGGAAAAACCCCTGGGACTGAGTGTCAGGCCTCATGGGAATGTCTCAGAGTTCATGTGGGTGTGCTGACTGGAACTTCAGCTCAGTGTTGAGCAAATTTTACTTTTGGTAGAACATTTAGATGGAAATGTGCTATCAGCAATTGGAGCCAGAGAACACATCTCAGCAGGAGGCTAACTGGTGAGTCAGCTGGGCCCAAGGTGGACAGGCTGAGGGTGGGAGGGGGTCGCTTACCCAGTGATTAACATGCCTTTCACTGTGCTTTGTGAATATCAGGGAAGCCTGGGATAATTAGTCAGGGCTGAACAGCTCTTGCTCCTTGAAAAGGTATTTTTGCGTCCACTAGTGACTCAGCAAATGAACAGGTGTTTGAATTTACACAAATAATTGTTTTTGTATCTGTCGTTCAGGACTCTGCTCTTTGGTGCCAGACACCAACAAACCTTTGCTTTTCACAATGCTGGGAGAAAGTCCCTGTCAATGGGTATTCCTTTCTGTGGTTGATGATGCTGGCTGTCTGACTCCTGCCTCCTAACAAATAGTCTACAGCTGGAGAAATGGCTCCGCTGTTGAGGGCATGGGCTACACCTGTCCTGTCCAGCACACACTGAGCTTATCTCACCTGCTGTCCCAGTAACTTTGTCTGCCTTTGTGTGGCCAAGCCCCCTCATCTTAGCATCAGGCAAGTGCAGAGAGATAGGAGCGCCCAGACGACCAAAAGGACCGAAGAAACATGTGGGGAAGGCCCTGAGTTCAGCAGCTGCAGCTGACTCCGCCTTTTGACCTCCGAATCTGTAAAAAGAGAGAAAAAGTCAAAAGTTGCAGAGGAGAAGCTAGCTGTCCCCTTCACATGACGAAGGGAGAACTTCTGGAAAATGGGGCCATTTGTTTCTAACAAGGGCAGTTCTGTCTTCCTCTATCCACACTTCTAGAATCAACTCAAGTTTCCCTTCCTATGGAACAAGGTCCATTCTGTGCTCTAATTCAGTGAGAATGCATGCAGCCAAATGAAAAAATGGCACCAACAAAGGTTACTACATGAAAGGCAGCTAACCACAGGGCCCGAGCTAGGGCCTTGATTTTGGCCCTACTTTTCCCTAGGCTGTGGCCTTTGAAGGTTTTATGTCATCAGATTCTATCAAACCTCTATAAAATGATAAGGAATTATCAATTTCATCTTCTACTCTTTTCTTCCTAGACAGTCCAATTTCATGTGGCTGTTACAGTTTTGTCACTCATTATGTGTGTAAGTTCAGTAATTCAATACTCATTTGTTCCAGTTTCTTCCTCTACAAAGAAAGCTAAAATAAGAATGGCCTACTTACTTCACAGGGTTATTACAAGGATTCCTGAGTGACTTAGAATGGTACCTGGTGTATGGTCACTCGAGTATTAGCTGCAAACACAACAAATATAGTAGACACACTTAGCCTAATAGCCATTTCTGCCATGACTCTCACTTACAAATGTATTTCTTTAGCTTAATTCTGTCTTAAGTTTCACATCTGGATTTATTGTTGTTACTAAATATGTCAGTTAAAAATGTAATTATCCAGTAATTGTTTTTTGGAGACAGAGTTTCTTTGTGTAACAGCTTTGGCTGTCCTGAAACTCAGTCTGTAGGCCAGACTGGACTCATACACACAGAGATCCATCTGTCTCCCAAGTGCTGGGATTAAAGTCATGTGCCGCTGCCTCCACCACCTGTCAGTAAATACTTTTTCATACCAACTATTGGGTTTCATTTGTTTAGAGATTTATTTTTATGTGTGTGTATCTGCTGTGGGTATATGCATGTGAGTGCGGTTCCTGAAGGGTCCAGAGTTGGGTGTTGGATCCCCTGGAGCTGGAGTTGTAGGTTCTTGTGAGCTGCCCCATTTGGGTGCTGCTGGGTCTGAATTTGGGTGCCCTTAGAGAGAGTGTAGTAGGTATTCCTAACCGCTGAGCCATCTCTTTGTCATGTTTCAGAGGAGTCCAGTAAATAATACTCTCTCCCCAGCTTAGTGCTGAGCCAAGGAAAAGAAGGATAAAGGCAAGGCAAGCAGAAGACACAAATGACATCTATATTGCTCAAAAATCTAGTCATAAAGGGTGACACTTTGTAGGAAGCAGGTAGTCTGCAGCCCAGACTCCTGCCCTGGGGCAGACAGAGCCAGAGTGTGCAGGCTTCCATCTTCTGGGACAGATCCTGCCCCTAGAATATTGTTGGCTTAGAGAACAGAGCGGAGTATGCACTTCATGGTAATGGCAGAGGAGGAAGGGTAAGGGGAGCTAAGCTATGTAGTCCAGCTTCTGATGTGCTCCTCTGGGGAAGGGTGTAAGAGGAAGGAAGATAGACACTAAAAGGTCACACACACACACACACACACACACACACACACACACACACACACACACACACACAGGGATCCCGCCTCACAGAATGAAATACGTGGAATGGGAATGTAGCCTCCTAAGCCCACATGTGATGGCTGATGTGTCAAGCACTGGACATCTCTGCCTGCATCCCCCATGGATATCTGAAGAGCCACATCGCTAAACCATCGTCCCCTCCCTCTCATTGTTTCTGTTTCCCTGCTTGGTTGGTAGCATTGCCAGGTTCCTAGACATCCTGGGTAGTGATATCAAACCCATTTTGACTTCTATTTCTCTTGATGTTCATATTTGCTTTATCAAGGCCTATAGATTTGTTTGTTGGTTTTTGTTCAAGCAACTTTTGATTTTTTTCTCTTTCCTTTTCCTCCCAATTCCTCCCTTGGACCACTGCCACAGGCTCCTGACTTCAAGGCCTCTTAATCTCTCAAAACTGTTTATTTTCTCCTTTAAAATCTAACTTGAATTCTGCTTACTTACTGGTCCACTCTAGTCACAATTAATAGCTCTTTCTTAGAGGTCCCATATTAATGCTGGGGTTAGCTTTTTAATGATATTTGTAGCATTTATTTAGGTATCTACTGGGGTTTAAAAGTGCTATGAACATACTTAGCACAAAATATAAAGCTGTTGAAAAACTGTCCAGGCCGACTAGTATTTCATTTTATTTTGTACATTGCCATCTATGTCATCAATGGATGTTTCAGGCTTTAATTTTCTTGACTATTATAAATAGTATTACATAGTATTACTATTTCCATGACCATAAAAATATTAAGACTTTTCTTTGATTTCCTTTTTTTTTTTTTACTATACCTAAAAATATGATTGTCAGATCATATGGCTAGGCTAGTTTTAGAAGAACACGTCATTTCTGATGATTGCAGAGGGTCAGTGCATGAGTGGTCCAGTTCCTCTACTCCTCACCAACCCTTGTTAATCCTGTACATTGTCTTTATGGCGACCATCTCAATGGGCCTGGGGTCTGAGGAGATTAGTTTACTGCTGTTTCGCTTAGCTTTCCTCTCATGGTTGATGTCATGAAGCACATTTTGATATGCTTTTTGGTCATTTGAATAACATAATCGGAAAACTGCCCCTTTTCTCATATGCTTATTTTCAAATTCAATTCTCAGGCTGGAGAAATGGATCAGTGGTTAAAGATGCTTGCCACAATAGCATGAGGAGTGGACTTGAGATCCCAAAAAGCCTACATAAATGTGGGTGAGCATTGCAGCTCCCATAATTCCAGTCTCAAAGGGTAGAAACTGGGGATCAATCCCCTGATCAGGCTGGCTATGGAGACTATGTCTGGGTTTGACTGAGAGCCCCTGTTTCAGTTCATGTTTGCAAACACATGAAAAAAAAAACCATACACATGTACACCAAATGAAAAGCACACACACATGTGAAGTGGAGATGTACTTCAGTGCTACACTGCTTGCCTAGCCTGCACAAGGCCCTGTGTCTGCCAGTCTAGCACTGAAAAAAATAAACCTTTAAATTTTTGCTATTTAATTGTTGTTAAGTTACAAGAGTTCTTTAAATATCTTGGGTAGTAACACCTTATTAGATCAATGATTTGCGACTATTTTCTGCCATTCCATAGATTAACTTCCATAAATATAATTCTAATAAAAATGTAAACTCCTATGATTTACTCAGTTATATTCAATTATATTCATCCTGGGCATACAAGATATTTGTTGCATTGTTCTACACTTGATAAAGATGGAAACTCTTTCAGCGAACTCTGTTGTCTGAAGGAAGGCTTCAGCAAAGCACAAGGAGCCACAGCCTCATAAGTTCCAGCTGAGTCTGGTTTTTCTTGAACTGCTTCCTCCTAGGCTTGGCATGCACTAAAGCACCACAGACAGGTGAGGGGGAGTCTCAGACAGGCTGCCCAGAGATCCACTTCAGTCTAAGGTTTCCAGATTTTCCTCAATAGTGGTCAATACTAGTCAGTCTTGGTGAGATGTCACTCAATCCCACAATGGCTGACTAAAACTGAGTCAGTGGGTCGACCTCTGATCTTCAGATTCAATTCCTCCTTAAGGACAGAATGGGATCTCGCAAGTTGGGGGGGGGGAATTTAGGATGTAGTAGATCAGTTAAATACATGACAAATAGTCAACATTCCCACTGACTTACAAAGACTGTCGGAGTGCTAAAGCTCTCCAGAAAACAGAGAAGAAGGCATATGAGATGAAGTTAGTCAACGCACTTTTGGAGGGAGGAGATTGAGACAATCTCACTGTGTACCTCTGCCTGGTCTGAAGCTCACTTTGTAGATGAGGCTAGCCTCAAATTCACAGAGATCCACCTGCCTTCCAAAGGCTGGGAATAAAGGCATGCATCACCATGACAGGTTCAGTCACCACCTTCAACCAATATTCTATAATTACTGTGCTGTGTTAGGCTTTCAATTACATAAATCAGTGTCAAATGGAATTATGATCAAAATCTCTAGAGCAGTGGTTCTCAACCTTTCTAATGTTTTGAGCCCCTCATGTTGTGGGGGTCCCCAACTATGAAATTATTTTCATTGCTACTTCATAACTGTAATTTTGCTGCTATTAGAATTGTAATATAAATACCTGTGTTTTCCAATGGTCTTAGGTGACCCCTGTGAAAGGGTCATTCAAGGGGTCATGACCCACAGGTTAACCCCTGCTCTAGAGCATCTGTGAGACTAGAGATTTTGGTGACCTGGTACATATTAGATAAATTCAATTTTAATTGACATATTGCTTTCTCTCTAATAATACATGTGAAAAACACAGGGAGGTCTGCAGGTGTGTTTGGGAATATAGTGCTTGGCTAGCAGCCCCAGATCCTGGGTTTCATCTCCAGAAGCACCGGAAGGAGGGGAGTGGGAAGCCTCAGGAAACCCACCTGTCACTTTGATGTCCCCTGTGGCTTTGGCAATGCTGTTTTCAATCATACAAGAGTATGTGTTGTTGATTGTGACATTGTAGAGCACAGACACAACCTTCATGGTCACATTCTCAGAGTTCAACTCGAAACTGGTGTTGGAGACTTCTGAGAAGTTGGCTCCTTTGTCAATTTGAGATGCCCAGGCCACTGTGGGCTGGGGGAACCACCGAGGAGCCTCACAGCGCAAACTCTCTGAACTGGCATTATAGTCCACATTTATCTCTGGTACACTGAAGGCTGCAGGGTCAGAAGTCAGAAAGGACAAATGTCAAGGAAAAACAGATTACACACAAAAAAGCCTTAAAGTACTAGGTCTTCAAAACACAATCAGCTGGGTTGTGGTGGCACTCACCTTTAATCCCAGCACTCAGGGGACAGATCTCTGTGAGTTCAAGGCCAGCCTGGTCTACAAAGTGAGTTCTAGGATAGCCAGCACTGTTACACAGAGAAATCCTGTCTTGATAAACCAAAACTAAAAACAAAACACCAACCAGAATCACTTCTATCACTCAAGTGACTCAGTCAGTGCTCCCCACTGTAAGGTCTGTGTGTGGCCAGTTATGTTGTGGGAATAAATGAATAATGATTTGCTCAGAGCATCCCTGTGCATTGTATCCCTTTGGTCAAGACCACAAACTCAGGGGCCTGAGTTTCATGTATATCAGTGTTATGATAGATAATGTTCTCCAGGTACAAGGATCATTAAAAAAGAAGAAGGAGGAGGAGGAGGGAAGGAGGGAAGGAAGGAAGGAAGGAAGGAAAGAAGGAAGGAAGGAAGAAAGACAAAAGTCTATTTCCTTAGAACAACAGGGCCAAGCCTCGGACAGTTTCTGAATTTCATGTTTTCGGGTAAAAGAGGGAAGGGGAAGAAGAAAGAAACAAACAACATGACAGCATTTACCTATCACCACAGCAAGCCTACTCACAGGTCTTGTCGCCATGGGGATTTGGACTTTGCTTGGGTAGATACTCTAGCTCTGACATCTAGGAATAGAGTGGCAGCTGTCTGTTTTATTCTAAGAAATGCTACTCATTAGAGTGACATCTGGAAATTAAGATGTTCCTTCTCCTCCAACTTGGCAGAGTAACACAATATGTTATGGTTGTGTAACTTGGTGTTCTGTAGGAGTCCTAACAGATGGAGTGAGGCTGTTGCCTGCTTTTGGGACCCTTTCCTCCTACTGGGTCACCTCGTCCAGCCTTGATGTGAGGGGATGGTATGCCTAGTCTATTGTAACTTGTTATGTTTGGTTGATACCACTGAGAGGCCTTCTCTTTTCTGAGGGAAACAGAGGAAGAGTTGATCTGGGAGAGAGAGGAGGTGGCAGGGAGGGACTGGCTAAGAAGAGAGGATGGAGAGGAAACTGTGGGCTAGATGTAATACATGAGAGAAGAATAAATGAATACATAAATGAAGGAAGGAAGGAAAGAAGGGAGGAAGTGTTAGGGGTATGGGCTTATTATTAAATCCAAATGGCAGTCCACAATTAATACTTTTAAGAATTGTTGTGATGATGGTGATGACGAAGACTTTGAGGGTACACTGCCACAGCACACCTGTGGAGCTTGGACGATAGTTTTGTAGAGCTGGCTTTCCTCTCCCATCTTTACATGATGTGGTCATTTGAATGAGCATGGCTGCCACAAGCTCATGTTTGAATACGTGATCCCAGTTGGTGGAACTGTTTGAGAGGGACTAGAAGGTGGCCCTGTAGGAGGAGGAGTGTCATTGGAGGTGGGTTTTGAGGTTTCACATGCTCACACCATTCCTACTTAGAGCTGCCTCCCTGCCTCGTGCTTGTGAATCAGATGTGAGCTCTCAGCTACTGCTCCAGTGCCCTGTCTGCCTGCCCGCTGTCATGCTCTACACCATGATGGTCATAGACTCGCCCTCTGAAACAAAGCCCCAATAAACTTCTCCTAAAGTTGCCGTGGTCATGGTGTCTATTCAGAACAGTTGAAAAGTAACCAAGACACATGGTCTCCAGGGCTCAAACCCAGGTTAACAGGCTTGAACACTGAGCACCGTTACCTGCTGAACCATCACACCAGACCCCCAGGCAGCCAGTAGTTCATAAAGGCTCTTAGCTGTTTCTTTGCTCACGGTTAGGGTGATGCTGTGTGAGAACAAAAGGTAAACCTTTCCCTTGCTGTTGTTTGTTTATGTCTGGGACAGCCTTATGTATGCTGGCCTTGAACTCACCATGGAGCTGGGGATGACATGGAACTCCCGATCCTCTGGCCTTCAGTGCCGCACACTGAGAATACAGGCATGTGCTACCACACCCTGCACTTTTCTCCCACCCCAGTGAGCCTGTTCCATAGTGAGGGGGATGAAATGTACATGCTTAGAGCAGGTAGGCAACACATGCCTAGGAGATGATGGGGGAAACTGAGTCTTGAGAGTATAATTTGTGCTAGAGATGTATTCCAGATATTACTTTATTTAATTTTCAAAATAATTCTAATGGTTATCTGTTATTATACCCATGATAAAACTTTAAATTTTGTAATTACTTTATTTTACTAATTCTTTTTCTTTCTTCCTTTTTCTCTTGTTCTTGTTTGTTTGTTTGTTTTTGTTTCTTTCCAAGACAGGGTTTCTTTTAGCAACTCTAGCTATCCTGGAACACACTCTGCACTCTGTAGACCAGACTGCCCTGGAACTCAGATTCTCCTGCCTCCATTTCCCGAGTGCTTGGATTAAAGGCGTGTGTCACCACTGCCTGATTCTAATTTTTTAAAAAGTTGTATTTATTTCTATTTGATATATTTGAGTGTTTGCCTCTCTCTCTCTCTCTCTCTCTGTGTGTGTGTGTGTGTATGTGTGTGTGTGTGTGTGTATGTGTGTGTGTATGTGTGTGTGTGTATACCATGTGCATACAGTGCATGTCGAGGGCATCAGATCCCCTGGAGCCAGAACTACAAATGGTTGTGAGCTGCAGTGAGCATTGCATGTGCACGTTGGGAACTAAATCCAAATCCTCTGGAAAAATAGCCAGTGCTCTTAACCGCTGAGCCATCTTCCCAGGCTGTCCTAATATACTAATTTTTAAGAGTAGCTTGCAAATAGGTTTCGTTATGTGAACAACTTTAGATTTACATAGAGGTTTCAAAAGCAGTATTTGGTAAAAGATAACGCCTGTAAATCTCCCACTCAGTTTCCTCTAATAGCATCTTACATAGACATTGTCCTTCTGTCAAAATTGAGAAACCAGCATTATTCTTAATTAAACTTCTGGCTTTATTTGTATTTTACCCATATTCCAATTAATATTGGGTTTTTTTCCTGTTGTTGCCCCAGAATCTCATTTAGCATGCCATCATGTTTTTAGTCATTGAGTCACTTCAGATTCTTATGGGCTCTGGCATTTTCTCAATCTTCTCATGCTTTTTATGGCTCTAACAGCTTTACTAGTGGTCAGTTATTGTGTAGAGTGTTGTTCTGCTGGAATTTATGGGATGCTCTTCCCATGGTTAGAGTCGGGTTGTGGGTTTTGGAGAGGAAGACCATGGTAGGGTAAAGGTCTCCCATCAACATGGCATGCTAGAAGGCGCAAGCTCTCCACACCCAATTGTCAACATGAGGGAATGTGTGTCAGGTATCTTTGAAAGTTGGCTTCACTCCTGCAACATACACTGACTGAACTAAGTGGAAGGACTATTAAATGGCACCTCCACCTCCTGGAGAAGGGGAGAGGGAAGTCAATTATTTGGAGTTTCTGTCTGAACAGAATTTGTTTCATCTCCCTCATAGTAAACATTTAAAAACATGCATGTTTTAGACCCCAAGTCATAATTCAGTACTATGGCTTCTCGTCTCGCTGTTTTAGGCTTTTCACTGAAGTTTGTGCAGTTGCTCTTACTATTTGACATAGTCTTCCTCTTCAGAGGAAGAGGCTGAGGCTCAGATAGGTTGTGTGCACTCTCCCCATCCAGGTCTGACCCTAGGGCCATGCATTGTAGTGTTACATATACATGGGAGGTGTTCAAGAAGGGTCTACAAAGACTAGTTTAGGCTACAGTGCACAGGCTACTTTATGCCCATCCTTGAGACCCCTTTCAGCTTCTCCATGGGGGCTTCTTATCCCTTCCCTCGTGTGCATTTGGGTGTGCTCTCTCCCTTCCTTTGACCCCTCAGTCATTCTATTTCTACTTCTCCAAAGGTGTTGTTCGTCGCACAGACTTTCACTTCTGTAAGATCTATACTGGAAGCACTGTGAAATAACCATGTTTATTAATCATCTTCATATTCTTCATTGCATCCATCTGAATCCCTTGTAGATAACTTCAGGAAATATCTATTAGACCAGTTTGGCAAGGAAATGTGGGTTTCACTGGGCCTGATTAGTATAGAAATATCCCAGCACAGATGGTAGGTTTCTCTTATTAGCAATGGCAGGTGGTCTTTACCTTTAATCCTGGTAGTTGGGAGGCAGAGGCAGAGGCAGGCAGATCTCTGTGATTTCAAAGCCAGCCTGGTCTAAGAGTGAGTTCCGGGAGAGCTAGGGCTACAGAGTGAGACTCTGGAGAGATGGGGAGAGACTGTCTTTCAGAATACACCTAGAAATCCAAAGATGAGAGGCTAGAAGAAAGTATTTTAAGCCCTAATATTATAGCAGGTCACTTTGAAAGTTGGTATGGTCTTGGCATAACAACAAGATGGCTACTAACAGAACTGAGAGAATTTCGGTCCAATATTGGCCATCTATGGTCATTTATGAACTCACCATGATATTTCATCAGCAGCGCATGCCCTTTATTCTCAGATATCTTTGGGTTCTCTCCCCCCGCCCTGCAGAAGCAACTCACCTCCAGTCTTGTACTCAAGGTTTGCATTCCCCTTGCCTTTTGAGGTGTGGATGTAACACGTATAGGTGCCAGCATCTGCGAGCTGCACGTTTTTCAGTCTCAGGGAAGCATTGCCAACCACCACTTGATCAGCAAACACTGCTGTCCGGCCTCTAAACATTTCATGCTGCTGAGAGAAATCATCTTTGCCTGCTTTAAACTCGTGGACCAAACCCATGGTCCCTTCTTTCAGCCACTGGATGACAATGCCATTGAGTTTGATGTCGGGTTCAAAAGTGCAGCTTAGGATGCCATCCTCTCCAATGTTTCCAGCCGAGGTAAACGTCCTGACTGTGATGAAGTGTTTGCCTGCGATTCAAAGAAGGGCCAATGCCAGTGAAGCCCTGGTACTTTAACAGCCAGGCTCTTCTTTAATGCAAGCCAGACAGAGATGTCCAATCAATCAGAAGGACAAAAAAAGCATTTTTAAAAAGACACGACTAGAAAGAGCAGGAAGCCATGTTGACATCTACAGCAGACCTGCTGTGCACAATGGCTTTTGCAAGAACAATCTACCCACACCCCGAGAGGCAGCAAGAGGAAAACACCTGGGAGTTGAGGGTTTGGACACAAGTATTCAAGTCCTGGCTTTGTTCCTTAACCACCGTGTGACCTTAAATAAATCACATGACTCGTCTGACTCCCAGGAACACGGAGGTAACAGCCTCTGAGAAGTTAGTATGAGGATCAAATCAAACGGGTGTAAACTTGATTTGCAAATGGCAATTACACAAGTACTAACCAATAGTAACACAAAGCTAAGCTCCCTGTTAATTAATAATAGTAATTCTGAAGAAAGTTAAATTCTAATGTGCTGGGACTTTATCTTTTTTTGGAATGATAAAGAAACTCTGGCATCGACAAGGGACAAGGGAAGTGATGGTGTTATCCACATCACAATGAAGATGACACTTAGTGATATTTGGTCCAAGTGAGAAGCCACCCTCTTCACCTCTTCGATCCTACACTTGGGGGAACATTGACTGTGGTGGGATCTCCATTCTACCCCCTCTCCTTCTGTTGTCCAGCCTACAGCCCACACAGACTGGGGGTTCTTTGTGCCAGCTGTTCTGACGGAGGGCACCCTAGGATGATTAGTTTTAGAGTCTCCTGTGACATGGATATGAAGCTAAGGTGAGGGCCATGGAGCCCAAGAGGATCGTGGGTCAGATACAAGGAACTGTGTGGGGAAGAGACCATGGAGAGACTTCATCCTAAGAGCCTTGTCGGCTGCTGAGGATAGTCAAGGCTGCAGGAGGGGCTGCCCAACCTCTGCATATTCTTCACACAAAAGCCTGGTTGAAGCGTTTAAGATGCTCCTCCCAAGACTTTCTGACACCCACAGACATCACCATGATGGGTCTTGGACACTTTTCAACTGCACTTTGCAGCTTCCGTATTGGTCTCCCCACCGTGTCTGCCTGCCTCCCTCCCACTGTTTTAAACGCATTGGTCTTGCAGTAGCTTTCTGAAACTACAATCCGAAGACACCCGCCACTATGGTTACTATGGGCTCTGGAATGAGTTGCCAGCTCCGCAGCCTGGCCTTCGATGCCAAGCACTGCCTGGCACACAGTGAATGCCTCTTGTTTCTGCCTGGCAGTTTCCTCCTCCCACTGTCTCCATCGTCTGTTTGTCTGTGTCCAGTGGTTTGTTGATTTTTCTTTCTTCAATTTAAAGATTCATGAACAAATAGTACATGTTCTTTTTCAAACACAGAAGCAAACATTCTAGCCATAAGGGTGTCCTTGACACTTCTAGCTCATTAAGGCTCAGGGTTGTCTAATTGACTCCAAGTCTTTTGTAGAAGAGATGAGGGTAACGAATGGGAAGTGCAGCCAAAGACACTGAGCTAGATAGATCTGCATAAAAAAAGAGCAGAGGGCTATGGAGAGAGGAATAAGTATGTCCAGAGAACAGAGGCCGTGGAAATAGGCACGCACACATAGGCTGGGCTGGAAGACGTTTTTTTGAGGCTTGGTGGCGTGGAAGAAAGGGATTTGGGTAGCAGCTGCCCTGGATGGCCTTTTGTGTGAGAGATCTGGAAAACTAGGAAAGACAGCAAAGGGAGATTTGACTGTGTGATAACACAGCACCCTGTCTCCTGCCTTGTATTTTCTTGAACACAGCTTTAAAGTTCAGGCTTATTTCCTATTGTCTTTGTTTATATGAAGGTCCAGGCTTGCATGGGCTGAGTGGTCACATCTGTGCCTTCCCAATCCTGTCAGTCTTTCTCCTGTCCAGCATTCTGGCTCTCCTGTACCTTGCTTACCCACATGCCACTCATATTGGACTCAGTGAGGATGGCAGTCCTTTCCAGAAATCCCTTTTTTTTTACTCTGCCAAGGTAGAACCAGTAGATATGTCCCTGCCCGTAGCTCTTCTTTCCCTTTACCATGGAAACTGCCTCCTTCCTTGCCTCACATCTGAACTATGCACCCAGTAAGTTTTGTCCAAGCAGGGAACAGTTCCAGTGGTAATTACAGGTCTGATAGTGTTTACTGGTCTGTTCTATGAGTTCCCAAGTATATGGTAATGAACACATATCAAGCACTGCTCATATACTCTATTGCAAGAGTAAAGAGCCAAGGTCACCACATTTAAATGTGAGAGAAACAGCCTTAAAAAGACGGCAATAAAGATACATATAGATCCTCAGTGATACCACACAACAAGTGGGACTCAGTCAGAGCCACAGTGAAGGTGACTATACTTTATAAAGTGTCATTGAAGTTAATCTGGAAAATTACTTTTGCAGAAAAAACCCCACATCATTAGCACAATTATAGAGGAAATGAAATGATAATGACATATCTTAGTTTGGTAATTGTGTTATGGGGATTAATTTTAATGTGTTGGCCTTGAGCCCACAGGTAGGGAATCCACTGACACATCTCCTAGAGAACTTGGTAATTAAAAATAGGCAGCTTCATCATGCCTGGGGACCTGCTGCAGCTTCAGGTCATTTGAGTTCCTGTTCATGATGTGGCCAATGGGATGAGCCTAACACCACTTGAATTCTCATCCATAGGAAGTAAAGGGGAGAAGTAAAAGCCAGTGAGGACTTCGGAAATCAGAGAGGTAGGCTTGCTTTGCATCTAGCCAGCAGTCAGTAAATTCTTGTTTGTTACATGCATAAATGAAGATTCAAGGTGATTATGTGGAAGTTAGTTTGCAGAAACCAGCATCTGTATTCAAATGTTCAAACACATCCTGGCTCAAAGAACATCATGTCCCCACCCTGGCCTGATGCACTCTCCAGGCATTCTGAGCATCAGAGAGGCTCCTGGGTGACGAGAGTCCCATGGAGACGGGTTAGAAGCCACTGTCTATGGACTGAGAATTCTTATTTAAACCAGAGATTTAAACCATTTCATTAGCCTCTAAGGTTGCCCCAACTCCTCAGAAACTGGAAGACAAGGCATTTACTGAAAATAAACAGCTCATGAGGGTATCCTAATTTGGTTTCTGTTGCTATAATAAAACAGTGTCTGGAAGCAACTTGGAGGAGGGAGCAGCCATAGGGCTTTCCTTCCATGTCATATTCTATCATTGAAGGAGGCCAGAGCAAAAGCCCAAGGCAGGAACCTGGAGGCAAGAACTGAGGCAGAGACCATAGAGTTACACTGCTAACTGGATCTCCTGTTCTTGCTCAGCTGCTTTTCTAATTGAAAATATTTATTTTTCATGTATGTGAGTGCCTGCCTGTGTGTATGTATGTGTACCATATGTATGCCTGGTACCCCAGGAGGCCAGAAGAAGGCATCAGATCCCCTGGAGCTAGAGTTCCAGGTGGTTGCGATGCACTATGTGGGTTCTGGCAACCAAAGTCAGACCCTCTGCAAGACAAGCAAGTGCTCTTAACTGCTGAGCCACATCCCTCGGCTACCTTTATTATACAGCCCACGCTCACCTGCCGCTGGATAGCACCAGCCACAGTGGGCTGAGCCCTCTTAAATCAAGTAGTGATTAAGGAAATGCCTGACAGATAAGTGCTTCACACTAATCTGACCAGGCAATTCTTCAGTTGACGTTCCCTCTTTCTAGGTGACTCTAGGATTATGTAAAATTGACAGCTAAAGCTATGACATAGGGGCAATTCCTACCACAGCTCTGGTCACGTGAGGAAAAGCGTGGTAGGCCTCAGAGGTGAGCAAGCTGCTCATGTCTCAATGTCTCAGTTTTTGCACAGGTGAGTATTGCTTAATTGGCTGTCCCCTGTAGGGGCAGGGATATTTGGGATTAGAGTACAGGAAACACGAGGTGAGCATTTCCTAGATGTTGTGATGGGAGAGGTGCTGGATAAAACTTAGAAAATGAACTGTCCTTTGACACAATGCAGTCCAGGTTCTATACATTCCATTGGCGTAGAACACACTAGACACTGTTAACAGAGGATCCTGTAGTATCTACTGATGGACAGCTGTGCAGAATTCACCAAAGCACATGGCTTAGTGATGGAAACACACAGCCTGCTTCAGGCTGGGGTGGCACCTATGGGTACCGTGCTAGCCAAAGAGGAAAAGTGAGTGTGTTGCTTTTATGAGACAAAATTCAGAAAGATACTGGGTCAGGAGATAAAGGGGAGACGTAGGGAAGTGGCAGAAGATGGTGTGTGGGGGACTGGCAAAGACATCACACTGTTTGTGTCCTGGTTCCGTCACTTTCTGGATATGTGACACTGGGCAATGTTTCCAAGATCTTTATTAGTGCTCTTATGTGTAAAATGAGGCTGTGCCCTCATGGGGTCCCTAAAAGGACTAAATGATACAGTGCAAATAAAGCAAATAAAGTGCTTCCTACTGTACCCAATTTGTCATGCTGAGCCTTAAATTGTGGCAATTGAAAACATTAACTTCAACACTTTGGAAAAGACAGTGGATTGGGGCCCTGGGAGGTAAGAAAGGAACATCGTACTAACTGCTTTACCCTTGGTGGGTCATTTTAAGCCATAAGAAGTAAGAATGAGCACCAGACTTGTTCTATGAATGAGAATAAAGAAGCTCCAAGGTTAGATAAAGAAGCTCCAAGGTTAGTGGCTTGCTTAGTGCCCCCTGCCTTGCAAGTAGGGGGGGCCAGGGCCAACCCAGTCCTATAGCGGGCGTCTTGTAGCATATTTTCCTGATAACTAAAGCCAGATTGAAATAAGTCAAGAGTTAACCCATTATAACGATATCACCACTTTAAGAGTAAAAGCAAAAGAGCTGGGGAATGCAGCTCAGTGACAGAGTACTTGTCTGGCATATGTAAAACCCAGGCTTGATTCAGTCCAACACTGAAACATACAAGTGTAAAAAAATTAAAATGAAATAACTAAAGGTTGTAGATATAAGAAACATGAAGAACTAATTTTACAAATGACTGTAATATTTGGAAATATCAAATGTTTTCCAAACAACTTATATAACTCTTCCGATAAGAACACAGAGGCATATCCAGGGTCCTGATATAAAGCTGAGCATTATTAGATGATATCTTCTGGCTGGCTGTCGTCACCACCCTAGCTTCAAAAGAGGTCTTCTTTGGGGAGGTCAGAAAATTCTGTAGTTCTCAAGAGGTGCTAAATAAATTCATTGACAGCAGGAAATGGGTATTAATAGTATTTGTCGTGTCCAGCTGTGTCAGCCATTTATGTTACACATGTGTGTGAAGCCTCTAGGTTCTCCCATTGATCTCATTTTAACAGGAAGAAAACTGATTCTGGAAGGTGACGTTACCTCCCAAAGGGCATGAAGTTGTTTAACTTGAGACCTACGTATCTCTGATCCTTAAACTCTCCCCCTGTGTGGAACTATTGCAGGGGCCGGGACCTTTCACTAGGGGTTGATGAGGGTCTCTCGACCTCTCTTCCAAACACTGCACCTTAAATGCAGTTTGTGTTGTATGGGGCCACATTTAGAAAATGTTTATTTATTTATTTGATTGCTTAGTTTTGCAATGTTGGGTGGTACCCAGGCTATTGCACATTGTGTAAGTGTTCTGCTACTGAGATCCATGCTCAGCCCTTGGTTTTGTTTTTGTTTTTCCCTTTTATTTATGAGCATATATTAATTAATGATACAGGATAATGGGTTTCATTATGATTTTCATAATTTTGGTCATGTTTACCCCATTATCCCCTTCTTGTCCTTCTACCACCCCTGTGGATTCCCTTCATCTAAGTCTCCTTTCTACTCTGTCTTTTTATCTTTCCCGTGATTCGGTAGGCTTAACTAGGGTTTCTCATATGAGCAGGAGTGAGAGGTTATCTAAAGAACATAGGTGATGCAGCAGTGGCTACACCACTGAGGAATCTCTCCCTACCACCACCCCAGCCACCATTAACTGCCACTAGCTCTTTGTGGAAAGGGAAGGGCTCATGAGCTTCTCACCCCTAGATATTGTTATTGCATACAAATCCCCCTGAAGGGAGAAGAGAAGAGAGCACCTGAGATTTAGTTAGAGGGAAAGAGATGAAATGACATAAATCAAAAGCAAGTAAATGAGAAGGAATACAGTTGGTTCTCTACTTACGGCGTCTCAGTTTGTGATTATTAGACTTAATGATGATACAAAACGACATACGTATAGTAAAAAGTACACTCCAAGTTTTGACCTTTTACATGCTCCCGTGCTTGTGATGTGTGGTGTTGCTGGACCCCAGTGGTCAATGTAGCTCCCATTGGTTACATGATCACAGAGCCAGCGGCCTCCCTCTACAGTGTGCTGTGTGCCAAAGATGGTGTTTGAGAGGTTGGCTGTATTAAATGCCCTGCACTTACAATGTTTCCAACACACAACAGGTACATTGGAATGTTTCTGCATTATGAAGGACCATCTGTATTAGAGTGAAACAGATTAGCAAATTCAGAAATATTTCAACGTACACATGAATGGTTAGGTTACGATGATGGTGGTATTAAAGAGAAGAGTGTGTTTTCAATAAATGGTGCTTGGTCTACTGGACAGGCACATTGAAATAAAGCTTCTAAAAACTTAGAAGATCTTCATGACCTCAGGGAAGGCAAACATTATTAAATTGATTAGATTAAGTTCCACATATGAAGGAAAAGATTGATGAATTTAGCTATGTTAAAACAAAGACCACTTGTTCATTAGAATATATGAAAGGAATGAGAAGGTAAACCGTGCATCAGGAGAGATCTGGTAACACACTTAGCTAGTTTGCAACCAGAACATATAAAGAAATATAGGTTAAAAAAAGAAAAACAAGGGATTGGAGAGGTGGCTCAGAGGTTAAGAGTGCACACTGCTCTTTCAGAGGACCTGAGTTTGGCTACCCAACTAAGTTGGACAGGTCACAACTGAGTATAAGCCAGTTCTATGGGGGGGGGGGGTCTAATGCCCCCTGCTGGCCTCCCTGGGCACTGCACTCATATGCACAAACCTGCTCTTGGACACACATCCATATAATTAAAAGTAAAACTAAAATCTTAAATAAGAGAGGAACTCAATTTTAAAATAAGTAGAATATACATTTGATGATAAGGAAAGTGGGTAAGGGTGCTGATGCCTTGTGTAAACTAATACACATATAGCAAGTCTTTTTTAGTTCAGGCCTTGTAGCTACTGTTTAATAACCAACCATACCCTGGAGGAGAGTGATGATGGAGGAAATAGGCGGCTGGAAAAAATTATAAAGACTGAAATCATGAAGTGACAGCTTGGTCACAGACCCAGTTAAAATAATTATGTTGGCCCTGTTCAGGTGGTTTATGGGAAACAGCCAACAACTCAGAAGACAAGGCTGCCTTCTTCATATGGCTTCCATCATAATTAATAGCATCCATAATAGATATTCTTGAGAGGTGGCCTATCAGAAGAAGGATGAGATGGCTTCCTGTGACTGGCACAAGCTAACTGTCTTTGAAGAGTGGGTATCGAGGCGGCATGTTTCCTACATGGTGCAGTAGTCATGGCCAGTTATCCCTTTACCTAAGGTCCCTGTTTAGAAAGGGTTAAAGTCTAAGGAGACAATTGTCTCAGGCAAAGAGGACAACACAGTACATAGAGCAAATGCTCTACTTTGAAGTTCTCTGGGGAGAATTCCTGTTCTTCCCACATGTCACAATGAGTGAGGAGAGGTTTAACAGAGATGGGCAGAGCATAGACTGTGATTGGATAGCACATACCTGAAATACCAAAGCCAATGATGAGTGCAATTGCTCCAGCCAGGATAATGATGATGTTAATAACACTATGGACAGAGATGGAGAAACAGGAAGTTACTCTTTGCTCTATCTGACACACTGCCTCACAACCATCCCATGTAAGATGTGCTATGTCTATCAAGCACACCTCACAAGCTTTTCTCCCACATAAACCATTCCTATAAATAGGTACCTTACAAGTCCCATCCCCAACCCACTGGAGTCTAGGGACAGATGAAGAAGCTTCCCTTTTATCTGATGGTGTCATCTCACTTTCCTATTGCCAGATCAGAGAAGACCATAAACCCTGTTGAAGGAAAACCAATGGTAATATCTCTCTGTACTGCTCGATGGCACTTGAGGAGAACCTATGTCCCATTCAGCATGACCTTTAGCAACTTTGCCCACCTCCTTGTATTGTTTGTTTTCCTTTCTTGACTCTCTCTGTAGACCTTCACTTTCTCCTGGTCATGCCTTCTCCACATTGTATGCACTCACTCATACCTGGTCTACCATGACCTGCGGGTTCTCAGTGACTATCTTCTACCCCTTATTTTTAAACAAGTGGGCTGGAGATGTTGCAATAAATCACATGCTTAGAACTGTACATCAAGGTGCAAACCCAGTTTCTCCCTAGCCCTTTAATTCCTGTTTCCTCTAGATTACTCTTTATCCTACTGCAGCCTGGCTGCAGGAGCCCAGCTTCCTTCTTAGCTCCATCCCCTGGGGACGCCACCTCTTGGTGCAGACCCAGGTCCCCTTAGCTCTTCCCTATTAACTCACTCATGCTTTCCCTTCTAGCCCACCTCCATTCCTCTGTGTCAGCTGCTGATCTGCGGAAACACTTTCTACCAGAGAAGCCACAATGGTAGGGACTCCGCATCCTTCCTGTCCCCCATTCCAACCTCTCTAGGCTTACTCTTAGCATACTTGAAGGAGTCCCTCTACCCACCCTGCCTCCACTCCTTGGTGACTCTTACTCGTGATGTGAACACTCTGTTTCCATAGCTATTTTCTTCTGCCCATCCTTGCCTTTCCTCTTAGACCATTTCCATTTCTTTGTGTTATCTTCCAACGGACAGAAGCAATCTCTGCCTGAGATCACTCAGCCACAATACTCTCCTAGTATCTAGAGTGGGCAATAACAACCAAAGAACAGAACTACCCACCCAAAAAAGACCAGATATCTATGCCAAGAAACACCTCAAATATCATAACTACAGATACATAGATCCCCATGAAAAATTACAAACATGAACAGCTAAGACAATATGCCTCCTCTGAAAGCTGGTAAGACTATTTCAAAAAGCCTTGAGAATTGCAGTTTAGCTAAAGCATAAAACAAGGACTTCAAAGTAGCAATTATGAATATGTTCAAACACCTTAAAGATGGTATAAACCAATACCCTAATGAAGACTGTGAAAACACAGTTAAATGAAATAATGAAAACATTTTAAGACTTCAGGTTATGAAAGTTGGAATATAATTACTAAATAAAACCCAAGTTAAAATAAAACTAGAAATGAAAATTGAAAACTTAAGAAACCAAACAAAACCCACAGAGATACAGCTTCCTAGCATATTACAAGGCATGAGAAAGAGAGTTTCAGGTCTTGAAGACAAGGTAGAAGAAATGGATGGTTCAGTCAAAGAAGATGTTAAATCTAAAAACACCTAGGCACGAAACATCCAGGAAATTAGGAAGAGACCAAACTGATAAATAGTAGGAATAGAATAAGGAGAAGAAGCCCAGATTAAAGGCACATAAAATATTTTTAGATACATTTCAAGGTACAAGAAGCATACAGAGTAACAGATAGACTAGACCAGAAAAGAAATTTCCCACAAAATGTAATAATCAAAACACTGAATGTTCAGAACAAAGAGATGATATTAAAAGCCGTAAGTGGAAAAAGACCCATTAGGTTAACATTCAGTGGAGACTCTGTAAGTCAGAAAGGCGTGGGCAGATGTTCTACAAACTGAGAAATAACAGATGCCAGCTTAGATGACTATACCCAGTAAACTATCAATTACAATAAATGGGGAAAAATACTCCATAATATAAACAAATTTAGACAATATCTAACTATAAATCCAGCTCTATAGAAGACCCTAAAAGGAAAACTTCAGTCTGTAGAGGCTAAGCAAATGCAAGGAAACACAGGAATAAATACTTATAGAACAGTGCATCAAAAAAAGGTGAAGGACCCATACCACAACAAAATAACAGGAATCAGTGAATACTGCTCATTGATAACTCTCAATATAAGTGGTCTCAATTTCCTAGTAAAAAGGCACAGACTAATATATTGAATTAGAAAACAGAGTCCACCTTTCTGCTGTATTCAAGGAACACATCTTACCATTAAGGATAGACATCATTTCAGGGTAAATGGATGGAAAAGGTATTCCAAGAAAATGGATCCAAGAAGCAAGCAGAAGAAGCTATTTAATATTTGACAAAATAGACTTCAAAACCAAAACAATCAGAAGAGATGGAAAGGACACTGCATATACATTAAAGAGAAAAAAGTAAGAGGATATTGAAATCCTAAACACAAGGGCACTGTGGTGGTTTGAATGAGAATGGCCACCATAGGCTCATATATTTGGATACTTAGTCATCAGGAAGTGGCACTACTTGAAAAGGAAGGATGGCCTTGGAAGATGTGTGCCACTGAAGGTGGGCTTAGAGGTTTCAGAAGCCTAAGCCTGGCCCAATCTCTCTCTCTCTCTCTCTCTCTCTCTCTCTCTCTCTCTCTTCCTGCTCTCTGTGGATCCAGATGTAGAACTCTCAGCTACTTCTCCAGCACCACCATGCTCCCTACCATGATGATAATAGACTAAATCTCTGGAACTGTAAGCAAGCCTCTCAATTAAATGTTTTCTTCAGTTATAGTTGTCTTGGTCATAATGCCTCTTCACAGCAACAGAACCGTGACTAAGGCAGAAGTTGGTACCAGGAGTGTGGTATCGGTACTTTAGATTAGAAAAACAGTTGAATGCTATAAGCAGGGTTTAATGGGCCATCATAGTAAGAGCATGGAATACAGTGGTACTGGGGGTGATTTGAACTGTGGAGGCCTGGCTAAAGAGGATTCAGAGGGGAAGAATATTAGTAGACTGTTATTGTGACATTTGAAAAAGAATGTGGCTGCTTTCTGCCCTTGTCCAAAAAATCTGCCTGAGGTTATGTGAGAGAGTTATGGATTAATGGCATTGGCAGAGGAAATTTCAAGACAGCCTAGTAGTGGCCATGTCATATGGTTATTAGCAGCAACTCATCCGGATTTATAATTAACAGTATGAAGCCGAGAAAGTAAAATACAAAATGTACAGTTTAAGGAGAAAAGGAGCACCAGGAAGTGTGGGAGCTAAGTCTAGTGTTCAAGGAGAGGACACACTCAATACTAAGTAGAATAAAGGGAAAGGTGACCTCTGGCAAGGTCCCACCTAGATAAGCTTCTGATTTGTGAAAAGGAAATATAGAAAAGCTTAAGTAGTGAAATTCATAAAGAAACATGACTACAGCTAAAATCACATATTGACCCTCACCCAGTGATAGTGTGTGACTTCAGCACCACCCACACTCTTGCCAATAGGCAGATCATCCACACAAAAACTAAGCAGAGAAATGCTGGAATAAACCTATACCATGGATCAAATGGACCTAGCAGACATCTACAGAACATTGCACACAAACACTAATAAATTTACTTTCTTCTCAGAAGCTCATGGAACTTTCTCTAAAACTGACCACATGACATACTAGGACACAAAGGGAGTCTCAACAGAAATAAGAAAATTGAAATAACACACTGCATCCTATCTGACCACCATGGATTAAAGCTGGATATCAACAAAAGAAACAGCAGAAAAGATGTAAATTCATGAGAATTATACAACTTACTAGTGAATGAAAAACAGGTCAATGCAGAAATGAAGGAAATTTAAACCCTTTTAAGACTGAATGAAAATAAAAACACAACACCCCCAAACTTATAGGACACAATGAAAGTGGCTCTAAAAGGCAAGCTCATAGCACTAAGTGCCTACATCAGAAATACAGAGAGATCTCATATTAACAACATAGTGACATACTTGAAAACAGGAAGAAATAACACCCAAAAGAGTAGAGGTAAAGAAATAATCAAACTCAGGGATGAAATCAATGAAATAAATAGAAACAAGCAAACATCCAGGTAGTGGTGGTGCACACCTTTGATCTTAGCACTGGGGAAGCAGAGGCAGGCAGATCCCTGTGAGGTCAAGACCAGCCTGATGTACAGAGAGAGTTCCTGGATAGCCAAAGCTACACAGTGAACCACTGTGTAGCTTTCTGTCTCAGAAAAAACAAGACAGAGAGAGAGAGAGAGAGAGAGAGAGAGAGAGAGAGAGAGAGAGAGAGAGGAGAGAGAGAGAGAAACAATGGAAGAAAGAGAAACAAACACAAAAACAACATAAAGAATCAATGAAACTAAGAGTTAATTATGTTAGAAAATCAGCAAGATTGAGAAACCCTTAGGCAAATTAACCAAAAAAACAGAGATCCAAATTAATAAAAATTAGAGATGAAAATGGGGCATCACAGCAAATTTCGAGACTACTGAATCACACACAAGATGGGCACAGGTCTAAGCCAGATGGATGGGTTCCCTGCACTGAGGGGGAATTGAACACTGGGCCCCATCCTGACCAATATGTTATCTGCGATTGATATCTGATGGCAAAGGGAAAATCAGTTTTCCCTTTGGAGTCTCACTGGGTATATAAACCATACTTAAGGGCAGGCTCCATGCCCAGCAGTAGATGGACAAGAGAGAAAACAAACAAACAAACAAACTGGTATTTTTGTGGACTTGTTATTTTGTTGCTTTGGCAGTTTTTGTTCTTACTAGTCCTTTGTTCTGATGTTTGGGGAGTTGTGGGTTCTGTGTGTGTGTGTGTGTGTGTTTTGTTTTATATTTATTTTTTAAAGGAGAGAGAAAGAACATAAAGTAGAATGGGGAGGATCTTGGAGGAATTATGGGAGGAGAAACATGA